TTTGTGCTTCCGGGCCAGTCACCCTTACTACGCATCCTCAGACGAGTCTTCCTTTCGGAGAGGACCGTTGCATTCTGGGGGTTGTAGTCATTGTCCATTCAGAGAGGGTCTTTGGCTACCCAGCTCTAGAACCGGAACTTTTAGGGATACACAGTCAAGATAGAAAACATAATCTTTCTCTTGGACTCAGAGAGAGTCAGCCAATCCCCAGCCTAGGTGCGGTGACGCCCCCCGAGCTGGTAGATTCTCTAGGGGTCAGCCCGCTGGAGGTGGGCCGCGCTCCCCCTAGAGCCTGGAGCTGCCCTCTTCCGCGTGGCCGGCTTTGGCCGAACTCAGGTAGGAACCGGTACGCACTGCGAGGCCTGGACCGCCAAGAATGCTACAGGTTTGGCTAGGGCCACAGAGTGGGTACGAGGGACGAATGTCTGACGTTTCCGGCCAGTGCGTGAGCTCCCCGCTTGCAGGAGGAGTGGTGAAGACCCAAAGACGCACTGGGAAGGGAGTGTCACTTGGGGGAAAAAGGACCGCATGGGCACCCCTGCCAGGGGCCCAGAGTGGCTGGGATTATCGAGGGGGGATTTCCGGGTTTTTTTCTTCATTTTTTTTCCTGTGGCATGAGTGAAAATCTATACATGCAGTGATACACCACAGCATACACACTGCCACGTGCGCTGAAGCGCCCCTCTCCCCCCCAACTCGTTTCTGGAAAAACCACGATTTATTGAGTAGACAAGTAGTAGGCTTGATTGGAAGACCCAGATTGTTAAGTGTGGAGTGAACAAAAGTAGGCAAAGGTGTCGGACTACCTAACAAGGTCGCAGCTGCAGCTGAAGGCAAAGAGCTGTCTTTCTGTCCCCACTTTGACCTCCTGGGGAGGAGCTCTGGTTTCAGTCAGTGTCCGGACCTGGGCCCAGCCAAATCTGGGGTGGCTGTGCCCCTCACTCCTGCAGCCTGATGCAGGCAGCTCTGCCCTTTACTTGTTAAGGCAGTGTGAATCCTCGAGGGCTGGGACTGAGAGGAGCCTGCCTCCCTGGTTTGGCACAGAGTAAGAAAGGGTTAACATAATGCTGGCAGAACCACAGTGTGCCAGGTGCTGCCACATAGGAAGCTGAGATCCTCTGCTGAACATGGCTGGAGGCTGGCAGGCCCATAGGGCCTATTTATAGCCAGGGGTCCAGGCTGCTGACCTGTGACATTCCCTGGCTGCCAATCCTTCCTGAAACAAGGCCAGTTCAAAGCACACTCCCTCCTCCCCTTCCCGTTCTTTCCTCATCACAGGGGGTAGGGTGGTTTTAATTTTTTCCTCCTTGAGTTTCCCAGCTCCAGAGGTGCCCAAAGTGGTCAATACCTCAGGAGAAGGCCTTCAGATGACAAAGGAGAGCTGGCCTTGGAATGTCAGGAGCCATCAACATGGACTTGTTCACCCTTACTTCCCTATCCCAGATTACCCTTTGGGCCACTCTCTGGCCCCCTGATGCAGGTGTTGGTTAGTTGCCCTGGCTGCTCTGGGGGCAGCTGAGAAATAGGTATAGGGTTTGGGAGGAGAAAAGGGGTGGAGCTAAGGATGTCCTTGGGAAGACAGCGGCAGGAGGGACCCAAATGACACCTCCCCCCACTAGAGCTCCAGAGAAGAGAGGCGGAGCAAATTCAAAGGTCATAGGGAGCAGAGTGATCTGAACCAGCTATGAAAAGGTGTAGCTGTCAGCAGATTAGGTTCCTGCTCCCCAAAGAGGGCCCTGGCCGGGAGGGTGAGGGAAGGCTTAGAAAGGTCATGCGTGATGGGGAGAAGCTAGCAAGAACTAGGAAGTCCCCGGGGAGAATGACAAACCCCAGGGCCAGAGATGCCAGCATGGCAGCAAGTCTGGTGCCAGGGCAGCCTGGGGGCGGGGGGGGGGGGGGGGGGGGGGGGGGGGGGGGAATAGGAATGACCAGAGGTTTTTGAGGACGCAGATGTTGCTAGGAGAAGCTAGGAGGGGGTTGAGAGCTTTGTATTTTGTTAACAAACACTGAGATCCATTGATGCTGTGTGAGGCTTGGCAGAGGTCAGAGCAAAGGGGTCCCTGGGGCCTGTGTTGGCTCAAAAGCCCAGACCCCTCCTTGGCAGCCCTTACCTAATTCCTCTTGTGGCTGAGGTACTTCTTTAGCCATTTAACTGGGCTTGGGGACAGGACTTCTGGTGTGTGAGAGGCAGCAGTGGGCAGCCCTTGCCTCCCTCTCCCTTTACCCTCCCCTCAACACACACACCCAAAGCAGACAGGACTGGGGTGTGATTCTACCCCTTTCAGAGGACAAGGAGAAAACCCCGCATCTGGAGAGGGACAAGGCAACTCCATTTCTGGCGAGATGTGGTGGCAAGAGGCTATGGGCTGCTTGATGGTTCAGGATCTCCAGGCAGGTAGTTGGGCCCCACAGCCTCCTGTCCCCCAGAAGAGGCTGCTCCATGGAGAGTCCCAGAGATCCTGGTGGCCAGGTACCCCAAGCTTCTGACTATCTCCACTGGGGTAAAGAAGCTGCCTGGCCTGGCCCCAGCTCCGCTCACAAATGTTCTGGATGATTCTGCAGGCAACAGATGAATTCACCCACTGGATGGTTCTCATAGCATATCTTGTACACAGCCATGAATAGAGGAAACCTAGAATGGGGAAGGAGAAACCCAGATTAGCCTTCCGGTATACCTCTACTACCTGCCCCCGCCCACTCCCTGTCCACCTCCTAACCCTCCACTCTCTTACTCTCCCACCTTTGAGCTCAGGCCGACTCTGGGTCTCAATTTCCAATTGCTGAGAAGTTGAACTCCTAGTCCTGGGTTTAGGGCAGGATGTTAATTGCCCTGCTCCCTATTGTATTGAACTTGCCTGTATGATTCCCTGGCATGAATTTTTTGTTCTAGTTGGGTAAGCCACTTAACCTCTCTAAGCATCAGAATCATCAACTATAAAATAGGACCAATATAACAAAGTAATGAAGAAGCCATTATGTATTAATGTGTAGGTGCTCAATAAATGCACTTCCTTCTTCCCATCCTCTTACACAGGCTGTTTCCTTTACCTTGAGGCTTTCTGCCGACCAGCCATAAGCTGATCTTCTGAACCTGTTTCATACTCTCTTATGCTAGGATTCTTTCTCAGATCAGTAGAGCTCTGCTCTGATCAGCCCATCACTCCCACTGTCTTTGTGCTCCCTGAAAAGGAGCACTTTGACACAGCGGCTGTCTTCCTCACCCCTCGGCACCCAGGACAAGATTCAGGGGACAGAAAGGTTGGCCTCCAGGGAGCAGCTTAGATGGGATGATGGGACAGTCAGTTGAGTTTATTCCTGCTGCCCCAGAGCTCCAGTCCCCATAGCAAAGGACAGGAGGACAGGACCGGAAGTGAGGCTGTGCAAAGGGGTCCAAGCAATGTGGTGCAAAGAGCAGTAGACTGGAGGGAGTTCAAAGACTATGAAGTAGCAGAGGGACAGCGGGCAGACCAGACTCTCTCCAAGCTGTAGTCTCCTTGTCTGTAAATACAAGGTTCCCTCTCCACCCACTTCACCGATTGAGGAGGGATCAGGAAGATGAGTGTGGAAAGCACTTGTGGCTGTGGTTCCCTCCTCCACTGGGGCTGGGACAGACACCTACTTGTCCACCATGCCCTTGTGTTGGAGGATGCTGTGTAGCTCCCGGGCTGTCGGGGGCCCCTGCAGCTTCTGCCCATTCAGCATCTCTTTCTCCAGCTGCTCAATGGGCTGTGAAGAAAAAGAGACGGGTGGATGGAAATGGCAGACAAGGGTTGTCGGGGGAGGTGGAGAGTCTGGGGCTCAGATGGGAGGTGGGATCTTAGGCACCTAAAGGGCCCACCCTCCATTCTCCATTCTCCCAGGGTTCCTACCTTTCCTGTGCGGACGAAGGCCTCGGCCACCTTTCGGTTCCTCCCTCCGTAGCAGGTGGTGATGAGGTCACCGATACCACAGCTCTCCAAGAAGGTGGCAGAGGACACAGGGCCACTGCAGAAGAGCTTGGCAAAGGCGATCATCTCCATGAGCCCCAGTCGGATCACCGCTGCCTTGGTGTTGTCACCAAAGCCCAGCCCGTCACAGAAGCCAGCTCCCACGGCCACTATATTCTTTGGGGAGTGGAGGTCACAGGTGAGAAAGGATCCCTTCCTGCAGGCCCTCGGGCACCATCCTCATGCTCCTTCCATCAGCCATGTGAAATATAGTGGGTGGGCTCCTCAACTAGCTCCTCCGCTTGATTTTCCCACTCGCTGTACCCCTGGGCTTGTGCTTCCTGGCTCTGCAACCCTGCCCCCTACTCCATCCTTGAGAACATTTCCTGAAAACCAATCTTCTGTTCAGCTAGCCCTCCCATCCTTGACTATTCTGCTCCACATCCCTGATGTTCTCAACTTGTCCAAGATCCAGAGTTCTGGCCATCAACCTGCCTGGGTGCCCTAGATATCTTATCTCCCATTAGCCTGGGTGCTTTTCCAGGACATCTCCTCTTCCCCCTGGACCACCCACTGGAGGCAGGGACAGGAATGTCCTACAAGGGGCTATAGGGAGAAAGGGAGGAGGAGGGAGGCCCAATGTTTGATAGTGAGTAATTGTCAGGCCTGAATGACCCTGACCTTGCTGTTGCAATTCTTCCTGCGTGTGTGGGACTTGGTGGGGAAGGCAAGCAATTGCCCAAGAGTGAGGAGTACCAGCCACCTCGTGTAGCTAAGCCAGGCCCTCCATCAGGATCTTCTCCCCACCTCATAGATGCCTCTGCACCCCTCTCACCTTTAAGGCCCCACAAATCTCTACTGTATCCACCTCTGGCACCACTGTGATGCGGAAATTGGGTGTCTGCATCAGCTTTTTCAGAAGCTCTCCTTGGGCCTGGTCCTTGCAGCCTAAAGTGGGAAGGGAGGTGAAGCTTTGAGAGGGGATTCTCTTTCCACACCAGCCCTAAGCAGGACCTGCCACCCTTTCCCTGGGGGGGGGGGGGGGGGGGGGGGGGGGGGGGGAGGGGGTCCCGGTCCTCCCTCACCTCTGATGCTTGGGTCTTCTTTCCTTTGCCTGCCTTATGGGGGAAAAGATGGCTACGTGGGGGAGGGGGGAATACGGAGAGGGGATGTGACAAGCTGCACTTGTGAGTGATGGTTAGGGCTCTCACCAATGGTTGTCTCACAGAACTTCTCATCAGCCACCTCGCTGGCAATGTTGGCCCCCATCAGCACACTCATGGGGATGCCAAGGTGCTCCCCAATCACTTCAGAGATGAGCTTCAGCCCTTTAGGGCCCTCGTCTACCCCCTGGGCACAGGATGGAGCTCAGGCCAGGTGCCCTTTATGCCCAACTGAGGGCTTCCCACCCAGAAGTCCTGCCCCTTCCAAATCTACTGTTCATCAGTGTCCCTCCCCAAAGGCCCTGTCCCATTCTAACTCAGCCAAAGCTTGCCGTGAGGAGGGTAGATGGCACGTGAAAATGAATCCATTTGAAAATTCTTCCATATACCGTCAACCAACCTACTTCCTGACATCCCTCAACAACCCACCCCCAAGGACCTCAAACTAACTTCCGTCCCAGTCACTGCTCCAAACCACCTTCCCTTTCACATTCCTCAAACCCAACAGCTCCTCATACCCCCAGGCATCTCTTGTATGCCTCCCAAACTGCAGATATCTGCCTCCAAAGCTACTTCTAACTTCCCCCCAACCACCCTCCCCACCCCAGCGGCCCCCAGCACCTATTTCTCAGCCTCCTCCAAGCAACTCCTCTCTTCTCTCCAAAAAACTCTTGGCCTACTTCTGCCATTTTCTGTTCTCACTTCCCTACCCTCACCCCACAGCAGTTAGCTGCACCCCATCCACATGAAAGTGTTCCTGGCACCTTAATAAGAGATACACCAATGGCGTTTGCCTTCAGGTGGCCCTTGAGTTGATCACAAATCTTGCCGATGAACTGATGGGGCACCACAAAGATCAGGATGTCAGCACCGGCTGCAGCCTGGACCACATCTGGGACAGCCACCTGTGGGGGGCGACCAATGCTCATGGGCCTCACGGACTTCTGCTAGCCCATTCTGGAGATCTAGGGCCCAAGATGTGAGGCTGGTGGGGGAGAAGGAAGGGCAGTCAGGGGATCTAATCTGGAAGGCCTGAACTTGGAGGAAATGGAACACTGCATTCCCTCCCCCTCGCTGTCATTCCCTCTCCGGCTCCAGCTGCCCGGGGCTCTTGAGGACTCCTGGGAGCCTCCTCTCAGTGCTTCTGTAGCCCTTGGCTGTGGGACAGTGAAGGAGGCCACAGAAGGCCTGGGCTTGGCAGGAGGGAGAGGCCAAGTAGGGTTTCATCACCCTGATTCTTAAGGCTCCCAACTGGGAAGGGAGAGCCCTTCCTGCTGTCTTCCCTGCTCCCCCTTTCCAGGTTGGGAACAAGCCACGTGGATTTGACTAGAGACCTTAAGTCCAAGGAGCACCCTCCACGTCTGCTAATAACCCAGTGAATAAGTAACAGGATTAGAGCCTGAGGCAGGCGCTACCCAGACCCCAAGTCTTTAGTTGTCATGGAAACCAACTTCCTCATCCTCCCTTTCCTGCTTGGGAGCCCATAAGTGTATGGGTGTTGGGGGGGGGG